GTTTTAAGGCTATAAAACCCCCTCACTACACACTTTTCTCAGACAGGCATGAACATTTTCACACTTTTGTCTCTTGTTTAAATACTCTCAAAGTTCATACAATCGTAGAACAATAAGTCCAGTATTATAGAATGAAACCAAAGGCACCCATGGTTGCCTTTGACGGTGCAAAACGTTTTCAGAAAACTTACAAACCTACAGTACAGCACTTCCAAGATTTATGCGAATTTGACAAGCTGAACGCATTCTGAACTGTGCAGGAGACGCGGCACGGAGGAGATTGAGAATGGCCTACAGCCGATCAGGACTCGGAACACATCACGCTGTTTAAAAAATTAAAATAAAAAAACATGCAAAATTGCAAAAAATCACTGAAGCCGGGAAAGGTGGACCACTGTACAATGAAAATGCCAAGATGGTCAAAACAAAAATGCACATCTTAGGTTTCATATGGGACTTCATAAACCAAGTGGTAATTTCATGATAGCAGGTTCCATTTCTTATATGGTCTGTCCATCTTCCATATACAGTATCTTTGCATTAGGATATTTTCCTGTGACTACAAAGCTAGAACTGGGCGTAACCACTTGGAATGATGTCAACGGGAGTAAAAATGTTTGTCTTGTCCATTTGTCTGCCACTGAACCAATGCAATGTAGTGTTGCTACCATAATATTTGAGAGGAAAAAAAAAATCCAACATGGTTGATAAGAAAATGAGCAGCCCCCCCCCCTTTCGGGTCCATGAATCTCAGCACAGATTTGCATAGTGATTCACTGATTCAATTATCCAGTCTAGACTATGCTGTTATGTTTGGATAATCTAATTTTTGCCAAGTTAGAAGTGTGGTTATGGATGGTGCATCATTTTCATTTAAAAACAAAGTCAGGAACTTGATTCTTATTCAGACTTTTAGCAAAAACAACTTAGAGCTTTGCTGCATCACATAATTAAGTGTGTGTGTGTGTGTTCTTGCTGCAGGGGAAATGGACCATCAGCAGGCAAGGAGATGAGCATGACTGACTTGGAGAGCAAAGCGGAGACCATTCCCACATCCCATACTGCCTCAGCAGAAAAGCCAGAGGTGGACCTCCCTTAAACCAGCAGCTTCCCGTTTTGTTTTGTCGCTTTGTTGGAAGCCGTATCCTCTGTGGAATCGAGCTGATTTATGAACAAGTGATGTTTTAAATAAACAGTCTGCATTTTCCACAGTTTCCTGTCATGTTATTTCAGGTTGTTTACTGTTAGACCATGATTGTGAAGTTTGACATGAATAAGCATGAACACTTGGATTATAATAGACGGTAAAATGTGAGTGCAAGTCTGACTTTAATGCCTTGTTTTGACCAAAAGACCTTTACAGTTGTGTAAAGGGGGGACTATTACTTAAACTGAAATAACTACTGTGCAAAAGTCTTGAGCCAGCCCTAATTTCACAAGATTTTCCTAGGAACATAGGAAATGGGTGCTGTGACATAATGGAACTTGTGAATGCACAGGAAAAATGATACGAGGCAAAGACATAGTTTGTAGAATTCTAACAAACTTAAACGTCAGTATTTGGTGTGACACATGATCATTGTCAAAATCTGACTGTACTTTCCTCATAATTCCGTGTTTT